GTGCGGCGGGCCTTGGGGCCCTTGACCACCTTGGTCCATCCCCATGACTGGACAGAATGGGAGGTCCCGGAGTCCTCCCTTGTCCTGGAGGGAGACTGTGGTCTACCCTCCGCCTCCCGGGGGAGAAGGGCCTGGCAGTAGGAGTCAATCTCCTGCTCACAGTCCCTGATGGCGCACAGTCTCTGGACTGTGGCCTGGAGCTCCTCCAGCTGGTGTGCCAGAGACCTCAAAAGGGAGCAGACCCCACGAGGAGAGGTAGCTATGCTCCCAAGCCCCAGAGCCTGAAAAAGGGACAAGCAGCCCCCGCAGCCGAGAGCCAGGGGCTCCGTCTGCGTGGAGCTTGGAACCAGGGGCTCCGACTGGGTGGCCGTCTCTGAGGTGCCACAGCAGGGGGCCGCAGATCCCGAGGGGACCCATCTGCGTCATGCCGCTGGTAGAAGAAGTTTATGACTGTTTGACCTTGTCATCCATTGGGGCGCTCTGGTGAACAGGTATTCCCCCAGATCCTGATGTACAGCCCTTATATACTTATAGGTGGCCACCAGGTCCCCCCTGAGCCTGCGCTTTTCCCGGCTCAAGAGTCCCATGGCTCTCAGCCTCTCATTATAAGGTCTGTTTTCCTGCCCTCTGATCATATATGTGGCTCTCCTCGAACTCTCTCAAGCTTCTGCACATCCTTTTTATATTGTGGAGCCCAGAATTGGATACAGTACTCCAGGTGCGGCCTCAACAAGGCTGAGTACAACGGGAGAATGACGTCCTGGGATTTGCTAGAGAAGCATCTATGGATGCAAGCCAGAGTCTTTGCTCACTTTGCCAGCTGCAGCATCACATTGGTGGCTCATGTTTATCTGGTCAATCATGTGGTCAATCATGACCCCCAAGTCTCTTTCGGCCATGGTGCTATCAAGCGTAGCACTGCCGAGCCTATAAGCATGCTGCAGGTTTTTCCTCCCAAGGTGGAGAACCTTGCATTTCTTGGTGTTAAACACTATCAGGTTCTCACCCGCCCATTTGCTGAGCCTGTCAAAGTCAGCCTGGATCACCATCCTGTCCTTGGATCTGGACGCTTTACCTCAAAGTTTGGTGTCATTGGTGAACTTGGCCTGTCCACTTCTGACACCAATATCCACATCATTAATGAAGATGTTAAAGAGTATAGTCCCAAGGACGGAGCCTTGGGGGACCCCACTGGTCACGGCGCACCATGATGATTGACTTTCGTCAACTACCACTCTCTGGGTCCAACCTCAGCCAATTACCCAGCCAGCAGACTGTGATGTACCCAAGGCCATAGATGACCTGCAGGGCAAAGATCATGGAGGGGTCTGTTTTGGTGTTATAAGCACGGGGGCATGGATCTGAGGGAGAATGGGGGTAG